CTTCGATGAACTGCAAAGGATGTCAAGATTCGAATTATGAGTTCCAAGAAACTGCAAACTTTGAAAGATTCAAAACATCGAGAAATTTTTGAAAATCTCGAAATCTTCAGAATGTCGAGATCCAAAACATCGAGATCCCAAATGTCGAAATCCCAAAACTCGAAATTCCTAAACTCGAAATTCCAAATCTCGAGATCACAAATCTCGAGATCTTGATTTCGAGATTCAAATCTCGAGATATTGATTTCGAGATTCAAATCTCGAGATCTTGATGTCGAGATTCAAATCTCGAGATCTTGATTTCGAGATTCAAATCTCGAGATCTTGATTTCGAGATTCAAATCTCGAGATCAAGATGTCGAGATGCAAATCTCGAGATCAAGATTTCGAGATTCAAATCTCGAGATCAAGATGTCGAGATGCAGATCTCGAGATCAAGATGTCGAGATGCAGATCTCGAGATCAAGATGTCGAGATGCAGATCTCGAGATCAAGATGTCGAGATGCACATCTCGAGATCTCAAAAGTCGAGAAGAAGAAATCGAGTCCCTAAATGTCGAGATCCTGCAAAACGAAAACATTGATTTTTGAAAATCTGAAACCTGTTCTGAATAGCCCTGAAAGTCGAGATTCTCCTGTATCAGTTTCAAGCCAAAAACGTTTCTGCAGCAGTGAAAAATAAGGATTTCGAGATCTCAAAGTAGAGGTCTTCGAAATATAAAAATTGCAGAAAACGAAAAAAGAGGTATGCTGCTGGATCGGTTTTGAAAGGCGAGTCCAACAACATGATTTTTACAAAATTTCGTTCACAAACGAGATTACAGGAGCAAATCTCTACATAGAGAAAAACAGAAGAAAAAACAGAGCAGTTCTTCGTTAGATCCAAAAAATCGCAGACAAATCCAACCTGTTTCACGCCTCGGCTCTGATACCAACTGTTAATCCCAGAATACTAACAATCATACAACCATAGCAGTTATAAAGAAGCAGATAGGAAGATATCGACAAGATTAAACGCGAATCTGGTATACCGTATGAAAACTGGCGGTTAGCAGCGGCAACCCTAATATCTCTCTATCTCGCCTCTGCGTCTCTTAGCCTCTTACGATGAGTTAGGGTTCCCGTAAGTTAGCCTCCTTTTATAGGAGAAGTTGGCTAACTTACGGGTTACAAGGAAGCCCACGGGCTGATACACATTTGTGGCCCGTATTACACGTTTAATTAATAACTACACAAATACAAAGATATTTAATTAGATTGGACACCATAAAATATTCCCAACAAATTCCATCGAGAAAAGCCCCATATGGCCTCGGCCTGACATCAATTCTTGTGAGGCTGGCCTAATTTCAAGGTTTCATCTTCCGACTTTAATTCAATTCGAAAATGTTCAAAAATATATTTATGCTTATATTCATCATATTGTCTCTTGTCATGTTGATTTATGGAGAGGTTTTGTCCTTGTCCCCCTTTCTTTTTGTATTTTTTTTCAGATGTTTATAATATCTAGTAAATGTTCTCCGACATTTACCCCACCGACTTAGGTGTGGCACAAGCCCAACCTGCCCCTATGAAAGGTAATTGTGATGTGCGAAGGAATAATATTAATCGAACTAAGATATGAAACTCCTATCATCATATGGTATCGATCAACGATAGCATTTAGTTACTTATGTCATTAATAACATATATTGGAGGCGCAAGCTAGGGTCGTTCTTTCTTAACGATTTAGATGCTATGCTGGTTCACTTAATATATCACAAAAGTCATGATATGTGCACAACTATAACTATGATATGATTATCTTTTACCTTAAAAAACCAATTCAACCACTCACGATCTTCACTTTTAAATAATCATCATTAATTTTCCACTCTAATATCATTAACTTTTACCTTAACAACTCACATAACAAACTCTTTAGTTCCTAGTTGCTAGAGTCATTGTGATATATCGTTAGTCGCATATTCTTTGTGAGAAGAAGAACTAAACTGTGTTCTCAAAGTGTGAAAGAGTTAACCCCCACTATAATCACATTGGTTCTCTTCAACTCCCTTCAAGACGATAGAAACTCTCTGTTTAAAGCCCCCCTACGAACAAGAATCTTTTTTCTTTTTATTTAGAAGTGCCCTATTTTTTCATCATTAAAAAAATATAATACATGAATGCAGTAAGTGTATAATTTAATAAATATTAGTTGCAATACTTTATATTTTTTGTTTCTTTTTGTTTATTTTTTTGTGTTTCTTTTTGTTGTATTGTGTTGTTTTTGTTGTATTTTGTTGCTTTTTGTTGTTTATTGTGTGTTGAGAGTTATAGTTGATTTTTTATTTATTTAGATTTCTACATTTATTGTAATTTTTTATTTTATTACAGTTATGTGTTTTTATAACTTTAAAAATTTATTCAGTTTTTTAAATTTCATGGTTTTGCTTAGAATTAAAAAAAAATCTTCTTTGAGTTTATGAAACAATTTTTTTGTAGAAGTTTTAGATTCTTACAATGTTTGTACCTTTGTATTTATACTTTTCCCTTATATCAATTTTACTTTTTTTATATATTTTTGACAGTTTTGTAATTTTTGCATATGTATATTACCTAGTTTTTGAAAAATGCATTATAATAAAACATTACTACGTAGTTTTTATGGTTCCATATGTGTTTAACTATTTAAAACATTTTTACACTTTATTACCTCGTATTTTCTTTCTAAAATACTATACATGTTTTTTACACTTCTCTGATTATTTTTATAATTTTAAATTTTTTAATTTGATATATTTTTGTTTATTTTTTCATGTTTTGATTTTTCCTATTTAGGATTTTCAGTTTTGGGGGGTTTTATTGTTTTTTGTGATTATTTATGTGTTTATGACTCTTTGATAAATCTTTACATTTCGTTTTCCAATTTTGATTTAACAAAAACTAAGGAGGCGTTTACTTCGCTGCTAAAATCACAGTTAGGTTAGTAAGACATGTGAAGTAAACACGCAAGTTGTTTAAAACGTTGCTTACTAACCGAAAGAGATGCTTAAAGTGCCACTTACTAAGCATACCAGCCCCCCGTGTATTAATTAAGCGGCACTTTACGCCTTTTCAGTTTCCGAATTTACCCTTACCTTTACCCCTTGTCCTTACCTTATTGCTACCCAACTACCCCGCCCTACCCCACCTTACCCCGACCCCACCCTGACCCCACCCCACCCCCTTGACTCAGCCATACCCCACCCCACCTGACCTACCCAACCCCCTCACCCCTTACCCTGCCCCTGTACCCCCTACCACCTTCCCCTACCTTGACCCGACTCCACCCCTACCCCCCGCCCTACCCCTTTACCCCCTACGCCTACCCCCACCCTTGACCCGACCAATACCCCACCCTACCCTACCTTACACCGACCCCACCCTGACCCAACCCCTCCACTACCTACCCTACCCCACCCCCACCCCTTACCCCTACCCCTGTACCCCCTACCACCTTCCCCTACCTTGACCCGACCCCGACCCCACCCCTACCCCGCCCGGTTTCCCTACCCTGACCCTACCCCTACCTCGACTCACTAGGGGTGAGCATATAACCGATTTAACCGACCTGACCGAAAACCGATGACCGAACCGACCGAAAAAATCGGTTTTCGGTCGGTTTTCAGTTATAATAAAATAAAAAGATTCGGTTATTCAGTTATTCGGTTTTTATTCGGTTATATTTATCGGTTATCGGTCGGTCACCGGTAATCGTCCAAAATATATAAGTATATATACTCCATAGTAGAGTAGTCTTCCTGTCCGGAATTCCGGATAGGAACCGCCGTCCGGCCGACGGATTTTGGGGCTCTTCCCGGTGGAGTTTTTTGATGAAATTTTTATGGCATGTTCTTCATTAAGTCTAGTTTATCCACAAATAATTTCAGATAAATATTCCATTGGGAAGGTCGTCAAATGATTTTCGAAAGTTAACTGCGCTAAAAAACACATATAAAACGCAGTTAACTTCCAAAAATCATTTGACGAGCTTCCCGATGGAATTGTTTGCTCAAATTTGGTATGGATGAACTGGACTTAATGAAGAACATGACATAAAAATTTCATCAAAAAATTCCACCGACCGATTATGGTCGGTTATGATCGGTTATTCGGTTACCGACCGAAACCGAATGACATTTTTCGGTCGGTTTTTGTAATGGTGTCGGTCTGTTTTCGGTCGGTTATTTTAGTAAAAAAATATTGGTCGGTTATTCGGTTATCGGTCGGTTTTTTGACCGATCGACCGAATGCTCACCCCTACGACTCACCCCTACCCCCACCCTTGACCCGAGGGATGGGGGTACAAGGTGGGGTAGGGTGAGGAGTGGGGGTACAGGGCGGGGTAGGGGTTAGAGGTGTGGGTAAGCGACTAAGCGTAAGAGGTGACCCCATATATTATATTATATACTTGTGTTAATGAAGGTTTGTGTGTATATATCTATAGGGTTATTTTGGACATTTAAATGTTAAACGGTGTTTTAAATCGTTTGAAGTAAACATGAGCTTACAACACTGCTTAGTTTATGCGCCGCTTATTAACGCGAGTCTTAATAAGCGCCGTTTACTAACCCGTGAAGTAAACGTGTCCTAAGTGTCTCAAGCACATTCTATTAGCTTATTGGGAGGCAGGGCACTTCAATTGTGTCTACGTATCACTTTAACAAAAAATTGAACAACTTGATAAAGGAGATGCTTATACGTGGTAACTATTATTGGAATGGAAAACTTAACTAGACTATTTTTGAAATAAGTTTAAAAGTTGATAAAATGATACTCCGTATTATTTTTACTTTTTAGTCTATTTCTGAAATTTTACTTTTTTATTTTTAACTATTATATATATATATATATATATATATATATATATATATATATATATATATATATATATATATATATATATATATATATATATATATAAATTGGCCCAACCTCAAAATTAAAAAAAAAATGTTACTCCGTAGTATACAGCCCAAAAATAAAAAATGGCCCAAAATCCCAAATCCCAATTGCAAAGCAAGGACCGGAGGGCGCAGGGCAGTCGCAGAGCTCGCCGATCTCTGATCGCTATTCGCTAATCGGTAGAAATCCCAAGCAAATCTCAACCCAGATTCAGGTAGCAACCCTTCGTGACTTCGTCAATCTCCGGCCGGCCGTCGGATGGACGGCGCATGACGCCTCAGCACAGAACACCTCTTAGCCTGTAGCCAAAAGCCTCAGCGCCAGCTAATTTCTGCTCTTCTCCGGTAAAATTGTTTATTGTTTAGTTTTATTGTATTTTTTAAATTCTATTTAGCTTCTTAAAGACTAAATTACAGCCTTATTTAGTATGAATTTGATTGTGAGCATCACTTGTATGAGTATGAATTTGATTTTGATTTTTGATATTAATCTAATTATTTGGTTAATTAGTATGGAGTATTAGTGTAGTAACTAGGATTCCCATTGTGATACAGTTAAGGTTTACCGTTTATGTAGAAAAGATATCTTCTTGAAAATTGAGATTAAAGTCATTATCAAAAGATATCAATGGATGTGAACCTGCAGAAAGCAGCTGTAAAATTGTGGTGTTTTTGTATTTGACTGGATGAAAACTGTTATTGCTATAAAAAAAATTGTTTATGATTTTGTTGTTACAATAGATGTTATTTTATATTTGAAAATGAATTTTGTCAAATAAGCATTACCGAGTATTATATTACAATTTGTCATTTTTTGCAATGTACGTTATTTAACTAAATTTTGGCCCCCCTGGATGTCAAAGCTAAATCCACCCCCGCATGGAGAGACCTGATGACAACGGTGAAATGAACCAACTAACGGAGATGTTAAGGGTGGCTGAAAATGAATAAAAAAGTTAATTATGTTTTTATTTGGGCTACTTAAAACCGTAGTGTCCAATCTGAAATTCATTAAAAACCCTATTGTCTTTTGTGGCCCTTTTCCCTATCTATTTAATTATTTAATTAAGTAATGAAACCAATTACATTTAAATAATTGATTCAAATAATTTATTAGGTTATTAATATTTCAATTGATTACACTAATAAATTGTTAGTTTATAAGTAGTTTTTGGGTTTATAATTTTTAGTACTTCACTCAAAATTTTATTTAACTTTTAACTTAAATTTGCAAAATGTACATGAATACAGGATTACTGAAGGAATTCAATGATTGCTATTGATTATGTTTCCAATGAAATACCCATCTGGATATGAGAAGCTTAAAAAGAGACAAGATTTGTAAAAGTTAACCTTGTCTAAAAAGGAGTTCATGATAAATTCACTAATAAAAAAACACTCAAAGAGATTGACATTGAATGTTTGGTAGATGGCTGACTCTGAATCTAAATACGCTCGAAGAATGCCTCTATTTAAATGAAATGTATTTTATTAATGACTTGTTTTAAATGTTATTTTCATTAGTAACTTGTATTTTCACATACTTGATTACTATTATCATCTTTATTTATGTTTTATTTCTACTTGTGTTGGAAAGGAGAACCCAATTTTTTTGTTGCACTGGGTCCCACCATTTTCTCAGGACTAACCTTGACTTACTAAATGCTAAAGGTGTCTTTTCAGCCGGTTATGTCAAACATACAACTATAGTGAGACACAAAGTAAATATTTTGTATGTGGAACGTGTGGGAGTCATAAAAGATTTTAAAGAAATTGCATAAAATCAGACTAAACATGTTCAAAGCTCTAAAATAGGATTATGCATGTCTTATTTCCAAAATAAGACTTATTTACTCTAATTAAAGGAGTAAAACAATAAAAAAAAATCCAAAACAAGAATGGATGAGTGCGAGTCTGTGAAGAAAACAATAACTCTCCTGTTTGAAAAATTGTATTATGTTTTATCCATTTTAAAGATTTTTCTCAAAAAATTAGAGCGATAAGGTATTTAGTGTTTTAGGGCCTACAATTTTTTTGAACAGGGCCCTTAAAATGTCAAGGTTGGGCCTGGTACTTCCCATACCACTTCTTGATGTGGCTCTATTCAAGCTCTGCTCTTCTTTTTCGGATTCTACTTCCAGTTGAATAGGGGCTAGATGCAGAATGTAATGCTGTTTGAATTTTTCAAAAATAATTAGATAATTAGTTTAATGTTTCTGGGGCTAATAGCTTTTTAATTAACCTGTATTTATCCGTTTGAAATTATTACATAAACTCAAATATTATATGTTGATTGATGTTCAACTAAGTTTCTGGCCTTTTGCTGTATTTTTTTTCACTCTCCCTATCTTGAGATTAGGCTCTTTCAACCTGATTTAGACTTCTAGCTACTACTCCCTCCGTCCCATAAAATTCTTCCCACTTTCCTTTTTGGGCCGACCCAAAAAATTCTTCCCACTTACCATTTTCGGACAATTTGTGTGGTTCACATTCATTTCACCTTTTTCTTACACAACCACAACCATACATTTCCACTTTATTCCACTTTCTTAATCTCCATGCCAAGTCAAAGTTGGAAGAATTTTATGGGACGGAGGTAGTAATTAAGTTTTATTTTTAAAATTTTTATCAGTTCTGTTTTTATTGTGATGCATTCAAATTTCTAATTAATTATTTTTCACTGTTTCAGTGCCGCACTTGTCAGCAACCCCAAACTCTTTAGGGATTAAGGCTTGAATGTTGTTGTTGTTTCACTGCCACACTAGATCATTTTCATTCTAGTGCTCACAGTCTCACACTGTATAGGCATGTAATCGATGTGTTACCACTTACCAGATATGATGTTGTAGGATCCTCACTTTTAGTTGGCTGTTTTAAAGAAGAAATACAGAGTCAGGATAGCTGGGCTGATGTGTAAAGCACCAAGCCACCAACTACCTAGCAGTGAAATCATACAAGAGTCTAGAAGAGGATGAACATCAACAACAAAGATGAACCAAACACTGCCCCGAAACATGATCAGTGGTACAATTTGAAGCTAGGCTCTACATTCAAAGAAGAACATCCTTCCTCCAAGTTCTGTACATTACGCTGTATGTTTCTTTGTTTCACTTTGTCTGTCTATGGTTGATTGTGTGTGTGTGGCTGTGTGCTCAATTGCTCATAATCTACCTTTGTTTCATATTATGTTAATTGCATTGCAATGGTTCAACTATGCATTTCAACCTTATGCAATTTCTTATATGTTTATAACATTCCAGATGAGTTTAAACCTGCTTCAATTGATAAAAGCCAGCCAGGAAAGTTGCACAAAACCAAGGACAATAGGGTAACAGTTGAGTTTCAGAACAGTCAGCCAGGGAAGCCCAAGGTAAACTTTGAGGGGAGTAGTGAGGACTATAAAGAAAATGATGCTGTTTTACTCTTTGATGGCGTGACCTTTCGTTTGGAGAGACTGCACCGGGCAGTCAAGCGATTGAAACACGTTCGTCTCCATGGGGAATCTGTATCTGCTTCGGGTTCTGCTTCTTTGACTATAGTTGCTGAGTCAAGTTCTCCCCCTATTGTTAAAGCACCTATATTCCAATCTCAGAATAGTGTTGTTCGTGCACTACCAGTAAGTTCCGCTGTGTTAATATATATCTACTTTAATTATAAGACCTTCTTCATGGTAGGTAAAGCCCTAAAGTTTTATGATGAAAATAAGATTTCATTGGAGTATTGGACCTTAATAAGGCTACAGTAGTCATATCATTTCTATTCGCAAAGACGATGTTGGTTTTCTAAATTTTGTCTACCACTAAGTATGCTATTGGTTCTGCATATGGTATACGAAGACGGAGTACCTGAGAGATTAAAAATTAACACTTCCTGCTATATGTTCATGTTAGCCGACCCCAAAAGGGATACAATCATACAACATTTCTTATTTCATTTCATTATGTTAGTTAATTGGCCTTGTATCTCTAATGCTACTCACATAAAATTTCCGTACTGCTCGTTCACACAGATTGAGGTTGAAAGAATTGAAATTGGCGACATCAAAAGCTCAGGTTTGAATTTTGATCTAGCCTATATTTTTTTTGCATTGACGGATTTATTATGTATGCGTGTTGTGTTTACTTGTTCATTTCCCAGACTAATGGGTATTAGTAATGTTGCACTAATTTGGATGTTGCTATTATTTACTTTGATATAGACATGAAACTTAAGAGCGAGAAAGCTGGTGACAATCCATCTTCACAAGGCAACCAACCAAACTTGTCACATGATTATCCATCTCCACTGGCCAACCAACCAAACATGTCTCCTCAGACGAAGAGCGATGACTTGGATGAACAGCTAGATATAATGAACGATGATGACATGGAGGGAGATATGGCAGCGAATGGGGGAGGAGTGGAAGAAATTGATATTAATAAACCACATCAAAACAATGTAGATAATGAAGAATTTGCCGATGTGGATGGAAGTGATGAAGAGGATAATGGACGCACTGCTGCACAAGAAGACCTTAGAGTACAACAAGCTAATGGAGCTGGCGGCGGCGAACATCGCACTTCAAGCTCCAGCAGTAGCAGTGGTAGCGATAGCAGTGGGAGTAGTTCGAGCAGCAGCAGTAGTAGCAGTAGAAGCGGGAGTGACAGTGGCAGTAGCAGTAGTGATGCTGACAGTTCTGATGGTGAAGCAGTCATTTCTATCTAAGAGTTTTTACTCCCGGGGAAGTTTAAACAAATTGGTGACAATGTGCTTTTGAACAACATATTTATTACCCAATATATTAAAAAGACCCTAAGAACGGGCTACATAAACTCGAATCTGAAGTGGTTTACGCTCATGGGTTGCCTATTCAATGACCCAGAATTGGCTGGTCCGGACTCCAGAGCCATAACAAACCGGGCTGAAATAGGACTGGCTATGCTCTTAAAGACTTAGACTAACCACAACCCTAGGCCGGGCCATACCGGCCCAGCCGATCCTAGGCCGGGCCATACCGGCCACATTTTTTTTTTTGAAATGGTTTGGGCTCTTGGGGCTCCTAGCCGTTAAAATGGTTTGAAATGGTTTTTTGCTCTTGGGGCTCTTGGGTAAAAAAACCTATAAATATACCTATTTACTAAATGTTTTACTACACCTATTCTTAAATTCTTCTTACTCTCTAATTATCTTTATCTTCTCCAATTCTCTCTATACCTATTAATATATATTATATCTACTAAAATTAGTTATACAATTATTATATCTCTTTATAAATAAATTCATTATATCTACTTATTATCCACTTACATACCTATTATCTACTTAATATCTACTTATTATCTATTTATATTTACATATATTATATCTACTTATATATTAAGTATATATATTAAAGTATTAATTATAAGTGTACTACTCATCTTATAGTACTCCTTCCGGTCCTTAATTAACTTAACACTTTCTTTTTTGGGCCGTTCCATATTAAACTTTACACTTCCTTATTTGCCTTATTTGGCAAACAAATCTACACCAAACGGTGCAAAATAGTGCTAAATAATGTCAAACAGTGCCAAATAGTGCATCTACAATAAAATCAAATTTATTTTCTTAACATGTGTGAAGTCGAAGTGTAAAGTTTAATAAGGATCGGAGGGAGTAGTATACTTATATATTATATACTATAAACATTATACTACCTCCGTCCTGAATTGATTTGCAAATTTAACTTTTCTTGGACAAACAATTTCATTTTATTTGCTTAATTAGCATGTCAATTTTTAATTATATTCTAATTTGGAGTTTGCAACTTTGAAGAGATTTTAATGTAATTTCTGAATAGATAATTTTTAATTATTAAAAAATGAGTTAAGTATCGATAGGGAGGATTGACTTTTATTATTGATTGACAAAAAATTGTTGACTTTGCAAAATAATTTGAGACAAAGAGAGTACTATATATTAGTTAGTTAAAGTATAATTTATAGTTTAACTAATATTCATTAATATTAGTTAAATAACTTAAATTTATTCTATTAGTTACACTTCCATTAATTAATATCCATTAATATTAATATTTATTACTCCATCCATCCCTTATAACTTTGCCAACTTTCTTTTTTTGGTTGTCCCAAAAATACTTTGTCACCTTTCCTTTTAGCCAATCAATTTGTGGTTTCTGTTATTTCTCTCCCCTCTGCACAAATTTCTACAAAATGATTTTTACTTTATTATTCTACGTGCCAGTCAAACTTGGCAATCCTTTTAGGGACGGAGGGAATATATTTTAAGATGGAACGAGGTAGATATTCTGTAGATATGAGTAATCACCAATGCAATCGAAAGAAGAAGATTGCGAAGCAAAGGTAAATGACATGACATGTCTTCTTTTCAAAGCCGAGATACTTTTGAAACAATTTACGACCGGAGAGATGCGGTGTACGACGCCGAAGATGTTGGTGATTTTAGTGTCACCGGTCGTTTTGTGTAATTGGAAATGACATGAGTGTCAATGGGAATTAGAACTAGGCATGGCAATGGGTCGGGGCGGGGCGGGTACTACAAGACCCAGACCCGCTCCGTGACTTGGCGGGGCAGGTCCGCCCCGCCCCGTGACCAGCAAGGGTCCAAACTTTTTGACCCATGACCCGCCCTGCCCCGCCGTAACCTAATTAGCTAGTATGTATTTTTATTTGTGGCAAGTTGTTACCAACTGAATCTACATAAAGTTTATCTCTAAATAATAATTAAAAATTAATATATTAAATCAAATTCATGATACCCTAAAAATTTCAAAAATTACGGAAAAATTACTCAGACTTGAATAGTTAATCTATTAAATTATACTAATAATTGAACATATGTATTAAAATACTATATATAAAGAAGACATTGATAATCCCTCGTTCATCTCATTCTAATATATGTATTAATATATTATAAGATCAAAGAATTTATGATTTACTGCTTACACACATATATATACGTTGAAGTATATTTGTAGTATAATTTAAGAAAAAATATGTATGTTTATGTATTGAGCGGGTCGGGTCGGGGCGGGTCAGGGCGGCACGGGTCAATACTAATACCCGAGTCCGCCCCATTGTATATGCGGGGCGGGGTGGACCCGCCCCATTTGGAAGACGGCCCGGGCCGGACCCGCCCCAAATGTCTCGGGCTAGGGCGGGTCACTGCGGGTCGGTTTTTTTTGACATCCCTAATTAGAACTATGATCCAATACAAGTTAGTAGGTGTGTAGTGCACACTTGTATATAAGAACTAGTTTAATTCCAAAGTGTCTACGTTAGTGGAACTTGAGGTAGAACTCGAGGTATAACTTTCAGTAGACCAGCTCTGTGGTTCTGGACCGAGTTCTAGAATGGTTAGGCAGTTTCCAGCAGTTTCCCAAAAAATTGTTACGGTTATTCTTAAACGTGTTGCAACTGCCTAGGACGGTGAATATAGATATATATCACCATATTTCGTACAGAGGAGGAAGAGGAAACATATCCAACATATCTCCATCACTTTGGCACTCAAATTAAAGATAACAATCCATATACTCGACTAGTTTGGCTCTAGTTCGTGTGCCTATGTTCTAGAGTGTCCTTAAAGATTATCCTAGATTGAATTTCTTGTAACACAGGCATAGGGAAGAAATATCAATTCGGGAAGTGAACTTACACGATCCTTAAGCAATCCAAGTACTCGATTATCACCCCCTACGTGATATACCCCAACAATCGAATTGATATTTTCTTTGTGATAATCATTAGTACCGTGGAAGAGATGACATCCAAGTTCAACAAATTGGACAAGTTTCGAGGGAACGATTTCCGTAGATGGCAAAAGAAGATGCATTTCCTCCTCACCACTTTGAAGGTTGTGTACGTGTTGAGCACTCCGATGTCGGAAGTGATGGAGGACGAAACCTTGGAACAAACTAGGAGGCGTAATAAGTGGGAGAACGATGACTACATATGTAGAGGCCGCATTCTTAACGGTATGTCCGATGCGTTATTTGATATTTACCAAAACGTTGAGAGTGCAAAGGAATTGTGGAATTCTCTTGAGTCAAAAAACATCGCCGAGGATGCTTCTAGTAAGAAGTTCTTGGTGAGTGATTTTAATAATTATAAAATGGTTGTTTCAAGGCCGGTTATGGAACAATACAATGAACTCATTCGTGTTCTTGGTCAATTTAAACTCCACAAGATAGGTGTTGATGAGTCATATGCCATGTCGAGTATAATTGACAAACTTCCACCCTCTTGGAAGGATTTTAAACATTCTTTAAAACATCAAAATGAGGAACTGTCATTGGTTTAACTTGGGAGTCACTTGCGCATTGAGTAGAATCTTCGTGTGCAAGAGAATGACCAAATTATGAGTGAAGTTGAATCTAGACTGGCTCATGTTCACTTGGTTGAGGATAATAAATCTAACCCGAAAGATAAGGGGAAAGGAAAGAAGCGCAAGTATGAAGACCATGACAAACCCAACAAGAAACCGAAAGGATTGGTTTGTTGGAGGTGTCAAAAGGTTGGACATGTCAAGCGTGATTGTCGTGTGAAACTGAACAAGAATGACGTTGGAACGAATGGCAGTGGACAGGAACGGCCTAAGGATCTGGTTCCACGGAAAGGAGGTCAGTTCCTGACTAACTTTGATAATTCTGTCCAGAATTATGTATCACTCATTCCAAAATCTTTTTATGTACAAGATGATGACTGTGCATGGTGGATTGACTCAGGGGCTACGAGCCATGTGTGTAAGGATAAAGGATGGTTTGAAGACCTAGAACTAGTGGAGGTCGGTTCCTTCTTACGCATGGGAGACGAGTCAATGATGTCTATCTTGAGAAAGGGTGTAGTTGTTTTAGAATTTACTTCTACAAAAACAATTACATTGTTTGATATTTTGTATGTACCGAAGGTTCGAAAGAATCTTGTTTCGGGAAGTATGTTGAATAATTTAGGGTTCAAACAAGTGATTGAATCCGATAAATATATTCTGTCCAAGGGTGGTGTGTTTGTTGGTTTTGGATATTTATCAAATCGCATGTTTCGTTTGAATGTTGTGAATAAATTAATTTCTAGTGATAATTCTATTTTTGTGGCATCTTCCATGAATGATTGTGTGATTTGGCATGCTAGATTAGCTCACGTTAATTTTAGAAAAATGCATGAAATGTCTAAAGATGGTTTAATTCCGGCTTTTGATATTAATGATGATAAGTGTAGTACTTGCATGCTTACTAAGATCACAAAACAACTGTTTCCTAATGTTGAAAGGAATTCGGCTATTTTGGATCTTGTACATAGTGATCTATGTGATTTTCACTCAACTCCTTCCCTTAGCAATAAAAAGTATGTTGCTACTTTTATTGATGATTCAACTCGGTTTTGTTATGTGTATTTATTGCACACTAAGGACGAAGCTTTAGAGAAATTTAAAGTGTATAAAACCGAGGTTGAATTGCAATTGGGTAATCCAATTAAATGTCTTAGGACTGATCGGGGAGGAGAATATATGGATCCCCATTATTTTCAATCTGTTGGAATCATTCATGAGACCACGGCTCCGTATATACCACAACAAAATGGTGTGGCCGAACGGAAAAATCGAGTGTTAAAGGAAATGGTTAATTCCATGCTTTCCTACTCAGGTTTGAGTGAAGGGTTTTGGGGAGAGGCCATGCTCACGACCTGCTATGTTCTAAATAGGGTTCCAAATAAAAGGAACAAGACAACCCCATATGAGCTTTGGTACAAGAAAGCGCCGAATTTGAAATATTTTCGGGATTGGGGTTGTAGGGCGGTTGTAAAATTGCTCGAGCCCAAAAAGAGAACTTTGGGG